AGGCCCCGGGACTTCAACATCTCTGCAGGTGGTTGTATTGTGCAGGAAAGGCTGAGGACCGCTGAGCTACTGCCCGATTCCCCGCAGGACAGGCGCATTCCCCTGGAGAGGGTGACCGGGGTACGCTCTGCAGACACGCAACCTTGAATAGCCCTTTCTCAAGACACATATTCACCTCCACACAGCTCAGGGCAGGGGCTTGGGGGTGCAGGAGTGATAACTCATAGAGTACATGGCGGCATGGTTGGGGGGGGTGGATCGCTGCTGAAATACTGTCCTTGGGACCTGTACCTGACAGCCCTGTTTCTCTCCAATTACCCCAGTGACTGCAGCAATAAATCCTGTTCACAGGGTCTGGTTGCCTGACAGACTGGAGGGATCCGTCACAGCTACGCTGTCCTGCCCCAGCTGTTAGCAGCCTCCCCTCTCAGTGAGCTCCACACCTGTTTCTCCCGCTGGCACGTCCCCACTTCCTTCAGATGAACCCCGTAGGAGAGGTGACATTGCTTGCCCTAACAAACTCTATTATGAAATGCATTGCGTACGCCAGGCAAATTCTCATGTTGAAGTCCTGACCCGCTGCACCTCAGCGTGGGATTGTATTTGAGACAGGGTTTTTAGAGAGATGATTCCATTAACCACTCTAATTGGGTGGGCCCTAATCCAATAGGATTGGTGTCCTTAGAAGAAGAGGTGATTGGCCGGGTGCGATGGCTCACGCCTGTAATCCCAGCACTTTTGGGAGGCTGAGGTGGGTGGATCACCTGAGGTCAGGAGTTCAAGATCAGCCTGACCAACATGGTGAAACCCGGTCTCTACTAAACATATAAAAATTAGCCGGGTGTGGTGGCGGGTGCCTGTAATCCCAGTTGCTCAGGAGTCTGAGGCAGGGGAATTGCTTGAACCTGGGAGGCAGAGGTTGCAGTGAGCCCAGATCATGCCACAACTGTACTCCAGCCTGGGTGACAGAGCGAGACTCTGTCTCAAAGAAAAAAAAAAAAGAAAAGAAGAGGAAGAAGAGGTGATTAAGATCCACAGGGGGAAGACGTGTGAAGACACAGGGAGAAGGTGGCCATCTGCAAGCCGAGGAGAGAGGCCTCAGAAGAAACCAATCCTGCTGACACGTTGAGCTTGGTCTTCTAGCCTTCAGGATTGCCAGAAAATAAATGTCTGTTGTTTAAGCCACCCAGTCTGTGGACTTTTGTCGTGACATCATAAGCCAGGCAATAGACAGGCCGGGTGCGGTGGCTCATGCCTATAATCCCAGTGCTTTAGGAAGTCAAGGTGGGAGGATGGCTTGAGCCCAGGAGTTTGAGGCTGCAGTGAGCTATGATCATGCCACTGCACTCCAGTCTGGGTGACAACAGCGAGATCCTGTCTCAAACAAAAGAAAATGAAATAATGGCAAAAACACACAAAATAACAAACCAATAGATGGTCCCACTCTGCCCCTGGGATTCTTGGGGCCAGTTAGGAATGACTTAGCATCCATTCAAGTGATCATGTACAAATTTTATTTCTCAAGCCATGGAGCACTTTTTTTTTTTTTTTTTTTTTGAGACTTGCTCTGCCACCCAGGCTGGAGTGGAATGGTGCAATCTCAGCTTACTGCAACCTCCGCCTCCTGGGTTCAAGATAATCTCCTGCCTCAGCCTCCTGAGTAGCAGGGATTACAGGCACCTGCCATCATGGCTGGCTAATCTTTGTATTTTTTAGAGATGGAGTTTCACTATGTTGGCCTAGCTGCTCTTGAACTCCTGACCTCAGGTGATCTGCCTGCCTCAGCCTCCCAAAGTGCTGGGATTACAGGCGTGAGCCACCGCGCCCGGCCCCATGCAGCGTTCTTTCCCAATGAAACCTTATCTGACAGGTCCATGAATGGAACAGATAAAAGCAGGCTTGTTCCGATGGATTGAAGTGGTGGGAGGGGCTGCGTGGCTTCACAAGTTGACATCCTTATTCTATTCTCCCCTCACCTCCTTCAGTCCCTGTGTGTTCCACAGAGGACAGTTTAAAACCCGCTGTAGCAGAGTTTTATACCAATTTTGCAGAAGAACCGTCAGTCTGGGGCTGGCAGGAGTAATCCCCGCAGGAACATGTGAAGCCTGTCACCTCACTTCATTGAGTACACCCTTCCTTCCCTTGTGGTATCATGATTATGTTTCAGGCTTTTGTTGTTACAGAGAGAATCAGTCTGAGGGATTGATTCCCAATCAATGTTAGAAGAAACAGTCTAGGATACAACACGGGATTTGCAGTCAGATACCGGAGTTCAAGTCCGTCCTCCCTCATTCACCAGCTGAGCGCCTTGGGCAAGTCAACTGACCTCCATTAGCCGTAGGTGAACCATCTGTAAAATGGAAACACACTAAGATTTTGAGCAGGGAGGTGGCTTCGGGTAATCGAATAAACATGAGTTTTGGAGTTAGACAGACTTGAGTTTGACCTCAACCCTGCTGCTTCTTGGCTCTGTGGCCTTGACCTTCTATCTTCTCACCTGTAACTTGTGGGTAATAAGGGCACCTAGGGGATTAGCAAGGTTGTGTGTGCAAAGCACTTTGCATACAAATTGTCTTATAGTTGCTCAGCTAAAGCCGGTTCTTTATTATTTTTTCTTTCTTTCTTTTTTTCTTTGAGACAGAGTTTTGCTCTTTCACCCAGGTTGGAGTGAAGTGGCGCAAGCTTGGCTCACTGCAACCTCTGCCCCCTGGGTTCAAGTGATTCTCCTGCCTCAGCCTCCCGAGTAGCTGGGATTATAGGTGGCTGCCACCACGCACAGCTACTTTTTGTGTATTTTTAGTAGAGACGGAGTTTTGCCATGTTGGCCAGGCTGGCTTCGGACTTCTGAGCTCAGGTGATCCAACCCCCTCAGCCTCCCAAAATGCTAGGATTACAGGCTTGAGCCACCATGCCCAGTCTCTCTCTCTCTCTCTCTTTCTCCCTCTCTTCCTCTCTTCCTCTCTCTCTCTCTCTTTCTCTCTCTCTCTCTTTCTTTCTCTCTTTCTCTCTTTCTCTCTCTCTCTCTTTCTCTCTTTCTCCCTTTCTCTCTCTCTCTCTTTCTCTCTTTCTCCCTTTCTCTCTTTCTCTCTTTCTCTTTCTTTCTTTCTTTCCTGTCTTGCTCTCTCACCCAGGCTGGAGTACAGTGGTGCTATCACAGCTCACTGCAGCCTTGACCTCTCAGGCTCAAGTGGTCCTCCTATCTCAGCTTCTGGAGTATCTGGGACCACAGGTGTGTGCCACCATACCTGGCTAATTTTTGTATTGGTGGTAGAGATGGATTTCACCATATTGCCCCAGCTGGTCTCAAACTCCTGAGCTCAAGTGATCTTCCAGCCTCAGCCTCCCAAAGTACAGGGATTACAGGTATGGTGCCCAGCCTCTTTTTCTTTTTTGTAAGAGACAGGGTCTTGCTCTGTTGCCCAAGCTGGAGTGGTGCAATCATAGCTCACTGTAGCCTCTAATTCCTGGGCTCAATCAATCCTCCTGCCTCAGCCTCTCAAGTAGCTGAGACTCTAGGTGCACGACATCATGCCTGGCTAATAGAAAAAAAAAATTCCTTTTTTTGTAGAGACAGGGTCTCGCTTTGTTGTCCAGGCTGATCTTAAACTGCTGGGCTCAAGCAATTCTCCTGCCTCAGCCTCCTGAGTAGCTGGGACCACAGGCATGCACCACCACACAGCCCAGTTGTCTGTTTTTTTTTTTTTTTTACGTTTTTTTTTTGTGATAGGGTTTCGCTCTTGTTGCCCAGGCTGGAGTGCAATGGTGCGATCTCGTCTTACAGCAACCTCCGCCTCCTGGGTTCAAGCGATTCTCCTGCCTCAGCCTCCCGGGTGCCTGGGATTACAGGCATGCGCCACCATGCCTGGCTAATTTTGTATTTTTAGTAGAGATGGGATTTCTCCATGTTGGTCAGGCTAGTCCTGAACTCCTGACCTTAGGTGATCCACCTGCCTCAGCCTCCCAAAGTGTTGGAATTACAAGTGTGAGCCACCATGCCCAGCCTCCAGTTGTCTCTGAAGTCTCCTTTTTCTTTTAGTAGACCAGGGATCAGCATACTTCTGTAAAGGGAGAGTGAATATCTTTCATTTTGTGCGCCTTCCAGTGTTTGTCAGAATGACTCAACTCTGCTGTTGTATCTAGAAAGCAGCTGTAGATGATATGTCTGTGATGAATGTGGCTGTATTCCAATAACACTTTATATGTGGGTCAGGTACGGTGGCTCACACCTGTAATCCCAACACTTTGGGAGGCCTAGGTGGGAGGATCCTTTGAGGCCAGGAGTTTGAGACCAGCCTGGGCAACAGAATGAGATCCTGTCTCTACAAAAAAGTAAAAACAAAAACACACTTTATACATGGACATTGAGAGTTGGATTTTGTATAATTTTCACAAATTACAGAAAACTATTCCTTTTTTCGGGGGGAGACAAGGTCTCGCTCTGTGGCCCAGGCTGGAGTACCGGTGGCACCATCACAGCTCACTGCAGCCTCCACCTCCCATGCTGAAGCGATCCTCCCTCCTTGGCCTCCATAGTAGTGTCTACAGTTGAGAGCCATCATGCCTGGCTATTTTTTTCATTTTTTGTGGAGGTGGGGTCTTGCTATGTTGCCCAGGCTGGTCTTGGACTCCTGGACTCACACACAGCCGGACTCCTTGCTGTACCCAGGGAACATTTGGTGAATGACCGGGATACTGAAGGTCTCTCTCAGAGATACAATTGTGGGAATTAGTGGAGAATATGAATGTGAATGGGCAGGCATAGTGCAGATACTGAAGGTAGTTTTGGAAAGGCTGGCTCATCTTCCAGGGGAACTTGCATCTAACAAGAGGAGGCGGGGAGACTAGGAGTCAGAGAGACCAGAGACCTTGAAGTTCCTGCATTCCCAACTGCGTTCGCTTCTCAGCCATTCCCAACTCAGTCAGCAGGGGGCAGCAGGGGATCGCCGTCCTCGGGGAGTCTCAGGACCCGGGCAGCCTCGCCGGCTGCTGCCCAGACAGGAGACAAGAGATGCTGGGAGATGGCCCAGATGACCTCCGAGTGTCTTTTCTGCTGCTTAAATCCCTGTTCGTTTTTGCAGAGGAAGGTAGGGGGATGAGCCGCCTGGAGTCAGCCGGGGGCTCATATTCTCAGAAAGGGGGTGGCTTCCTTTCTGTCTCAGGAGATGGAAGAAAATGAAAATTCAGCCAGTGCTGCAGGTAGCTGCCACCCTAGCGTTTCAGTGTGTTCTATTTATCCCTCTTTTTGGTCAGTACATATGTGTTTATAGAGGGATTCATGGGGGCAGGGGCAAGCCAGGGCGTTCATTAATTCCAGGCAGGCTCATTAAGCACATTGACAAATACCAGGCAGAAAGAAAACGGTCATGTGGGCTGGGCGCGGTGGCTCACACCTGTAATCCTAGCACTTAGGGAGGCCGAGGCGGGTGGATCATCTGAGATCAGCAGTTTGAGACCAGCCTGGCCAACATGGCAGAACCCCATTTGTACTAAAAATGCAGAGATTAGCCGAGCATGGTGGTGCACGCCTGTAATCCCTGCTACTTGGGAGGCTGGGGCCGGAGAATCGCTTGAACCCGGGAAGCAGAGGTTGCAGTGAGCCGAGATCATGCCACTGCACTCCAGCCTGAGCAACAGAGTGAGACTCTGTCTTAAAAAAGAAAGAAAGAAAGAAAGAAAGAAAGAAAGAAAGAAAGGTCACATGGATCTAGGCCAGGGCACAGAGGACCCACAAATGACACCCTCTTAGCCTCTAAAACCTCAAAGGAAGCCGAGAGGCGAGGCTGCCTGACTGCTCCTGCGGCTGCCTATGTGGTCGTGGATGGTGATGAATGTGGGCAGCTCCATGATGCTTAGTGTCCCTCTCTGGAGACCAGGATAATCTTTCCTCCCTTGCAGATTTATTTATTAATAAATTGTTTAACGATGGAACGAGGAAAGTATTTCAGTGTCCCATGCATGGAAGCATCTAGAACAATGCCTGGGACCCAGTGAGTGTTTAGCACATGAAAGTTCCCCTTCCCTGCTCTCTGCTGTGGAACTGTGGGGTTTCTAGAGCAGAGACCACATCATATTTTTCTCTGCATCCCCAAGAAGCAATCAATTCCTTGTTTATACCACAGCCCTGGGGGAGAGCTGGGAAGTGAGTGTCTGAGATGAATAATTGCTGGATTTTTTTCTTTTTCTTTTTGACACAGAGTCTTACTCTGTCACCCAGGCTGGAGTGCAGTGGCACCGTCTCTGCTCACTGCAACCTCTGCTTCCTGGGTTTAAGCGATTCTCCTGCCTCAGCCTCCCGAGTAGTTGGTACGACAGGCACGTGCCAGCACACGTGGCTAATTTCTGTATTTTTAGTAGAGTTGGTGTTTCACCATGTTGGTCAGGCTGGTCTTGAACTCCTGACCTCAGGTGACCCGCCTTCCTTGGCCTCCCAAAGTGCTGGTATTACAGGCATGAGCCAACACAGCTGGCCTTAACTGCTGGATTTCTTTTCTTTTCTTTTTTTTTAGACGAAGTTTCGCTCTTGTTGCCCAGGTTGGAGTGCAATGGCACAATCTCGGCTCACTGCAACCTCTGCCTCCCGGGTTCAAGCAATTCTCCTGCTTCAGCCTCCCAAGTAGCTGGGATTACAGGCATGTGCCACCACACCTGGCTAATTTTTTTGTGTTTAGTAGAGACGGGGTTTCACCACACTGGTCAGGCTGGTTTTGCACTCCTGACCTCAGGTGATCCACCTGCCTCGGCCTCTCAAAGTGCTGGGATTACAGGCGTGAGCCACTGCACCCGGCCCTGGATTTCTTACCTTACAGTCCTGCTGGACTGGGGTGACCTTTCTTTGCCTTGTCCTAGCTCAGGTGAGTCCTGATGTCTATTTAAATTAAACATGCCTGGCTGGGTGTGGTGGCTCACATCTCTAATCTCAGCAATTTGGGAGGCCGAGGTGGGGAGATCCCCTGAGGTCAGGAGTTCAAGACCAGCCTGGTCAACATGGTGAAACCCTGTCTCTACTAAAAATACAAAAATTAGCCAGGTGTGGTGGCAGGCACCTATGGTCCTGGTTATTTGGGAGGCTGAGGCAGGAGAATCGCTTGAGCCTGAGAGGCGGAGGTTGCAGTGAGCCAAGATCAGGCCACTGCACTCCAGCCTGGGTGCCAGAGCGAGACTCTGTCTCAAAAAAAAAAAAAAAAAAAGCCCAAAGTCCTCTTGACTTTTAGGAATCTATCCTATCTATCCTGATAGAAACACAATCACCTGCATGTGAAGATATGTGTGCAAAGATATTACTGTGTTGTTTGCCTTGGAAAAAGTTGGAAAGACAACTCTATCAATAGGTAAATAATAGAATAAATTATGGCACATGCAGTGTTATGCAAACCACGCCCCATGAAAAGGAATTCGGCAGATCTATGTGCAGAGATCTGGAGAGAGATGGACTGCCCAGTGTTAAGTGAAAAAGTAAACTGCTGAATCATGTCTGTATCATGATTCCTTTTTTGTCAGAGGTGGCAAGAGGTTCCACATTATGTGTATGGTATGCTTATTTGTGTGTGTTTTTGTGAGCATAAGGAAAAACATGGAAGACTATACTCCAGGCTGTTGGAATTGGTTACCTTGTGGGATTAGGCAGAAGGGAGATTGACTCATTTATTCATGGTGGGGTGTGGCGGCCCATGCCTTTTATCCCAACACTTTGGGAGGCTGACTCGGGAGCATCACTTGAGACCAGGAGTTTGAGACCAGTCAGGACAACGTAGTGAGACTACAAGAATTATAAAAAATTAGCTGGACGTGGTGCACACCTGTGGTTCCAGCTACTTGGGAGGCTGGGGTGGGAGGATCCCTTGAGCCTGGGAGGTCGAGGCTGCAGTCAGCCATGATGGTGCCACTGCACTGCACTTCAGCCTGGGCTACAAGAGCAAGACTTCGTTTTAAAAAAAAACGATGGGGTGCAGTGGCTCAGGCCTGTAATCCCAGCACTTTGGGAGGCTGAGGCTGAGGATCACTTGAGGTCAGGAGTTTGAAACCAGCCTGGCTGGCGTGGTGAAACCCCGTCTCTACTGAAAATACAAAAATTAGTTGGACTTGGTGGCAGGAGCCTGTAATCCCAGCTACTCGGGTGGCTGAGGCTCAAGAATTGCTTGAACCCAAGGGTGGGGGTTGCAGTGAGTGGAGATTGTGCCACTGCACTCCAGCCTGGGTGACAGAGTGAGACTGGGTCTCAAGAAAGAAAAAAAAAAAAGAAAGAAAGAAATTCATTTACTCATTCATATTTTGATCTCAGTAATATACTTTGATGTCCACTGTGCGCCAGGCACTGTTTTAGCCCCGGGGAAAAAAACACAATGAAAGCACACCAAGTCCCTCCCATCATGAAGCAAGAGTGTTGGTGACTGTCCTGGTTTGCCTGGGACCATTCTGGCTTCAGCAACGCTGGTCCTGTGTCCCAGGCGGCTTCTCAGTCCCAGGCCAACAGGAGCAACCTGTCATCCTATGGAGCTTGCATTTTAGCATGAGAGACACACACAGGGGAGCGGGGCAGAGATTTTGCCGGTAAAAGTGCCATCTTGGAGCCCTTCCGATCCGCTTCCAGTGAGGATAATCCTGTTGCCCCAGGCCGAGGTTCTGCATTAGGCTCTGATTGATTGGCAGTCAGTGATGGAAGGGTGCTCTGAGCATTCCGACTGCCCCAAGGGTCACAGGCCAGCTCTCCATTTTGCTGAGTTGGCAGTGGGACCTAATTTGTTAATTAAGAGTAGATGGTGAGCTGTCCTCGTATTTTGATTAACCTAATGGCCTTCCCAGCACGACTCGGATTCAGCTGGAGACATCACGGCAACTTTTAATGAAATGATTTGAAGGGCCATTAAGAGGCACTTCCCGTTATTAGGCAGTTCATCTGCACTGATAACTTCTTGGCAGCTGAGCTGGCCGGAGCCGAGGCCCAAACGCACACTTGGCTTTCGGTTTTGAGATACAACTCTTAATCCTTTAGTCATGCTTGAGGGTGGATGGCCTTTTCAGCTTTAACCCAGTTTACACTGCCTTGGAAGTGTAGCCAGGAGAATACGCTCATATAGTCGTGGGCTTAGAGGCCACAGCAGATGCCGTTGGTCTACTGCCCGAGTCCCGCTGGTCCCATCCCAGCACCTTCCATCTGCGAGTACCCGGGAGCCTGTGCTGCTCCACACTGGGCTTTCTTTGCTGGAGCTGCTAGGGAGGAAGGCGTTTTGGGTTGAACTGTGACCTCACAAAAATGTGGAAGTCCTGGCTGGGCACGGTGGCTCACGCCTGTAATCCCAGCACTTTGGGAAGCCAAGGTGGGTGGATCACTTGAGGTCAGGAGTTCAAGGTCAGCCTGGGAAACATGGTGAAACATCATCTCTACTACGAAACATACAAAAAATTAGCTGGGCGTGTCGTCGCGGCCTGTAATCCACGCTACTTTGGGAGGCTGAAGGCAGGAGAATCACTTGAACTCGGAAGTGGAGGTGCGTGAAACTGAAAATCTCACATTGCACCCAGCTGGGTGACGATAGTGAGGTCCTGAATCAAAAAAAAAAAAAACAAAAAAAAAAAATTATGCCAGTTCCCTAACCTCTGTACTTGGTTGTACTTGTGAATTTTGACTTTATAGACGAAATAGGGTCGTTGCAGATATGATCAAGTTGAAGTTAAGGTTCACTAAGGGTAAGTCCCCATCCCAATTTGACCAATGTCTTGGCTGCATTGATTTTTTATTTTTTAAGAGGCAGGGTCTCATTCTGTTGCCCAAGGCTGGAATGCCATGGTCAATCTCAGCTCACTACAGCCATTGAACTCCTGGGCTCAAGCAGTATTCCTCACCTCAGTCACTCCTAAAGTAGCTGGAACCTGCAGGGACGTGTCCACCCCATGCCTGGCTTTTTTATTTGCATATTTTTTTGTAGACGTGGAGATCTTGACACCTGTCTCAAGCGTTCTCTCTCCTGTACGGCCCTTCGCGCCTTCCACAAGTTCAGGATTTACAGGCATAAGCCCCTATGCCTGGCCCCCACCCCAATGTCCTTATTAAAAATGGGAAATTCTGGCTGGGGCGCGTGGTGCTCACAGCCTGTAATCCAGCCACTTTGGGGGGGGTGCCGAGGTGGGGGTTGGATTCACATGAGGGGGGTCTCTGGAGTTCCGAGACCAGCCTTCGCCAACAATGGTGAACTCGTCTGTACCGCAAAAACAAAAAATTAGTCCTGTGCATGGTGGTTGGTATGCCTGGTAGTCCCAGCCTACTCTGGAGGGGGAGGCAGGAGAACATGTGAACCTGGGTGGGGGAGGTTATCGAGTGAGCCGAGATCCGTTGCCCACTGCACCTCCAGCGCCTCGAGTGACAAGAACGAGACTCCATCTCAAAACAAAACAAAACAAAAACAAGGGAAATTTGGGCCAGGTGCGATCTCTACTAAAAATACAAAAATTAGCTGGGTGTGGTGGTGGGTGCCTGTAATCCCAGCTACTCAGGAGGGATGAGGTAGGACAATCGCTTGAGTCCAGGAGGCAGAGGTTGCAGTGAGCCAAGATTGTGCCATTGCACTCTAGCCTGGGCGACACCAGCAAGACTCCATCTCAAAAAATACATAAGTAAATAAAAGGGAAATTTGGACACAGAGAGAGACACACATATGCAGGGAGAACGCCGCCTTAAGATGGAGGCAGAGATGGGGGTGATGCATCTACAAGCTGATGAGCAGTGGGGGCTGGCAAGTGACCAGAGGCTGGGAGAGAGGTGCAGTGCAGATTCTCAGCCTCGATCTTGGACTTGCATTCTGCAGGACTGTGACATAATGAATTGTGTATGACTGTTGTCTACACCTGCCACTCAATTTGCAGTATTTTGTTATGCCAGCCCTAGCAAACTATTATAACAGAGGGGTTAGCACCGGTCCTGCCCTCAGGGAGCATCCTCCATCAGTGGCTGATGGGAGTTGCTGGGTAACTACTCCAGCTCCCCAGCCTTCCGGGTAGGGCGCTCTGTCCTTAGAGAGTGGTCCGTTGACAATACAGGGACATTCTGTACTAACCGCCCTTCCCGTCTCATTTCTTTTCTTCTAGCCGTGTTTTTGGGATCATAAGCAACTGGCACTTGAATTTCCCTCTCACAGTCTGCTTCTGGGACAGAGGCTCTGGCTACTCTTGACCACTGGTATGCATAAGCGTATGTGTGTGTGTATGTGTGTGCATGCCTGCGTGTGAGCATGTGTGTGCATGCCTGTGTGTGAGCATGTGTGCATATCTGTGTGTGTGCATGTGTGTGCCTCTGTATGTGCTTGATACGGTTTGGCTCTGTGTCCTCACTCAAATCTCATCTTTTTTTTTTTTTTTTTTTGAGATGGAGTCTCTCTCCCTCACCCAGGCTGGAGTGCAGTGACCGGATCTCAGCTCAGTGCAAGCTCCGCCTCCCGGGGTCACGCCATTCTCCTGCCTCAGCCCGCCACCTCGCCCGGCTAGTTTTTTGTATTTTTTAGTAGAGACGGGGTTTCACCGTGTTAGCCAGGATGGTCTCGATCTTCTGACCTCGTGATCCGCCCGTCTCGGCCTCCCAAAGTGCTGGGATTACAGGCTTGAGCCACCGCGCCCGGCTCAAATCTCATCTTGAACTGTAATCCCCACAGGTCGAGGAAAGGACGTGATTGGATCTTGGGAGCGGTTTCTTCCATGCTGTTCTCACGATAGTGAGTGAATTCCCTCGAGATCTGGTGGTTTTATAAACGGTAGTTTCTCCTGCGCTGACACACACACTTCCTGCTGCAGCCTCGTGAAGAAGGCGCCTGCCTCCTTGACATCTTCCACCATGATTGCACGTTTCCTCAGGCCTCCTAGCCATGCTTCCTGTAAAGCCTGTGGAACGGTGAGTCCATTAAACCTCTTCCTTTATAATTACCCACTATCAGGTCGTATTCTTTATAGCAGTGTGAGAACTGACTAATACAGTGCTTGTGTGTGTCTAGGAAAGGAAACTTCAGGTCTGATCACTTTTTGCTTGAGCTGAACCCTCAGCCCCTGGGCTGGTGCAGTTGCTCTTGTCTACAGGGTCCTCGGGTTGCTCCTCTCCCAGGATTGTGTCTAAGTTCAGAGAGGTTTCTGGGGTCCAAGCCCTTTTGGGATCATGGGTGCAAGCCACCACCTTCTCAGGATGAGATGTCCTTCTTTCTTTATTTTTTGAGACGAAGTTTTGCTTTTGTTGCCCAGGCTGGAGTGCAGTGGCAACCGAGATCTCGGCTCACTGCAACCTCTGCCTCCCAGGTTCAAGCGATTCTTCTGCCCTCAGCCTCCCAAGTAGCTTGGATTACAGACATGTGCCACCATGCCCAGCTAATTTTTGTATTTTTGGTAGTGAAGGGTTTCACCATGTTGGTCAGACTGGTCTTGAATTTCCGACCTCAGGTGATCCACCCGCCTTAGCCTCCCAAAGTGCTGGAATTAGAGGCATGAGCCACCGCGCCCAGCCGAGATGTCCTTATTTCTTTCTGGACTGTGAGTTTCGACTCATCTAAGACAATGCAGTGGTGGCGGTTTTTTGGCCCAGCCTGGACTCAGCTGCTGCCGGGTCCTCCTCAGCTGTCCTGCCCCCACACTCAGGGCCCCAAGAAACACATGAAAGCTCCTTCCCAGAAGCCGTTCCCTACTTCCTAGCCCCTTTCAGGAGCATGAGCAGGCCTGAGACACACTGTGCACCAGGCCGGATGTTTTCCTTCAGGGGACAGAGCCGGTCCTGGGATGTGGCAGCCAGACCTCAGGGATGGTGTGCACTGCCCAGACTCCTCTACAGGCCGCTCACATGTCCCTGTTTCTGTCTGTCCTGTGACACCGACAGGATTGACCACCGCCACCCAGCACACATTCCTGTGTGTGATCATGGTGGGGTCCTCTGGAGCCGGAAGAGTGACTTGGCAAGATGGGACTCAGGGCCATCTGATTTTTGAAAATTCCATTGGTAATATACACATGTACGGAATAACTCGGCATGGAAAGATTTGGAGTCAAAAGTGACAGTTGGTGGGGCCCTGTGGCTCCCACTTGTAATCCCAGCACTTCGGCGGGGTCTGAAGCAGGAGAATCCTTGAGCCCAGGTACCTGAGACCAGCCTGGGCAACGTAGTGAGACCTTGCCTCAAAAAAGAAAAAAAAAAAGGTGAAAGTTGTCTTTTTCTCTCTCTTCTTTTTTTTTTTTTTTTGGAGACAGAGTTTCCCTCTTTTTGCCCAGGCTGGAGTCAATGGCGCGATTCCGCTCATTGTAACCTCTGTGCCTCCCGCGGGTTCAAGTGATTCTGCTGCCTCAGCCTCCCGAGTAGCTGGGATTATAGGCATGTGCCACCACCATGCCCGGCTAATTCTTTGTGTTTTTAGTAGAAGATGGGGTTTCACCATATTGGTTAGGCTAGGTCTCAAACTCTTGATCTTCAGGTGATCCACCTGCCTCGGCCTCCCAAAGTGTTGGGTTCCAGGGCGTGAGCCACTGCACCGGACCAAAGTTGTCTTTTGATAACCTTCATTTTGTCTCTTGGTGACATTTTGCTTTTTCAGACTTTTATGTAAATATGGATGTAGCGTATAGACAGATAATAGATCGTCGTAGATGGATATAGATAGATAGTCTACATTTGATATAGAGTAGATATAGATACAGACAGGTGTGTAGATACAGAATTCAAAACATAGACCAAGATAGACATAGTGATATATGTATGTAGATAGGGGATACAGACATATCATGTCCGAGTTACACTATAATAGATAGGATGGCATAGCTTTAACATAAATGTCACTGTGGCTTTCTGTGTGGCCTTGGTTACTTTGTGTTATCACTGCACAGTGTTGTCTTTAAGGTTTTCTGAAACAAGCACATATCCACCTCGTTCCTTCTAACCAATCCCCTGCTAATTGGCAATCGCGTCATTCCCATTTCTTTCTTTCTTCTTTTTGAGACAGAGGTCTTGCTCTGTCTGCTCAGGCTGGAGTGCAGTTGGTGCGATCTTGGCCACTGCAACATCGCCTCCTGGGTTCAAGTGATTCTTCTGTCTCAGCCGCCGAGTAGCTGGGATTACAAGTGGCCTGCCACCACACCCGACTCATTTTTGTATTTTTTAGTAGAGATGGGGTTTCACCATGTTGGCCAGGCTGGTCTTAAACTCTGACCTCAGGATCCACCTGCCTCAGCTCTCAAAGTGCTGGGATTACAGGCGTGGACCACTGTGGCCAGCCAAGTCGTTCCCATTTCTTTTCCATAAAACCCTGCGAGGAACATCTCTTTAGGTCATTCATGTATTGGTGCAAGTATGTTCTGCAGGACAGATTCCTAGAAGTAGAATTTCTGAGTTAAAAAGGTAAGCATATTTCACATTTTGGGAGGTGCTATCAAAAATTGCCCTCCAAAAAGGTTGAACCCAATTTGTGCTCCAGAGTAATTTAATTTGAATATTAAAAAGCCTCGGTGATCTCATACTGCACTCTAAGCGGTGAAGCAGGAACAGATGAGTACAATCTAAATAGGTTTATTATGGAGCAAGCAGGTCTGAACCGGCTCCTGCTTGGCCATGCATTGGTTGTTTATTTTCAGTGCACACTATTGAAGGGGGAAACAAACAGCTTTTACTTTAATATGCTTCAGAATTCAAAATTTTTCTGGTACGAATACAAGATGTTTCCTTCTTCCATGGCATTTTTGGAATTAGTGAGCCTTCCTTTACCAATTATAGCTGATTATAATGGAAGATTGCCCACAGTGCTTATGTAATTATAATTCAGAGACAAGAAATTGGCTTTTGATTGCATTTAATCTGCAGGAGCCCCCCACTCCCCCCATGACTTACTGTTTAAACTTATGCCTGGAGTTGTGAAAATGCAACAGAATCACAAACTTTAAGGTTGACAACCCGGAGTGGTTCTCTCCAATTCTTTCTAATTTTTCTAAAAATACAAAAATCAGCCAGGCGTGGTGGCGGGCTCCTGTAATCCCAGTTACTAGGGAGGCTGGAGGCAGAGAATGCGTTGAACCGGGAGGCAGAGGTTGCAGTGAGATGAGATTGCACCACTGCACAGCCCTGGGTGACAGAGTGAGGACTCTGTCTCAAAAAAAAAAAAATTAAAAAAAAAAAAGATAAAGTAATTTAAACAAATTTTCTTTATTTTTGTTTTCTTCTTTGTTTTGTTTTTTGTTATTTCTTTTACTTTTTCTTAGTTATTTTTATTTACTAAGGTCATTAAATGTTGTAATTTTTGTGAAATCTCTGAAATTATGAAAATGAATTAAAGATTATTGAGTGACAAAAAAATCAAAATAAAAAAGAAAAAAAGATGGAAACTATTGGGCAAGTATGTTATTAAAGAAGAAAATGGTCAAATGGCAGTTGTTTTGGTGCTGGCAAGTCTATGTAAGGATTATTGATTCAGCCGGGCGCGGTGGCCAAGCCTGTAACCCAGCACTTTGGGAGGCCGAGGCGGGTGGATCACGAGGTCAGGAGATCGAGACCATCCTGGCTAACATGGTGAAACCCGTCTCTACTAAAAATACAAAAAAAAAACCTAGCCGGGCGTGGTGGCGAGCTCCTGTAGTCCAAGCTACTCGGAGGCTGATGGAGAGAATGGCGTAAACCGGGAGGCGGAGCTTGTCAGTGAGCTGAATCCGCCCACTGCCACTCAGCCTGGGCGACAGAGCAGAACTCCGTCTCAAAAAAAAAAAAAAAAAAAAAGTATTATGATTCACCATTTTTTATTCTTATTATTTATTTTATTATTTATTTTTTTTGTAGAGATGGGTCTTGCTAGTTGCCCAGATGGTCTTGAACTCCCGCCTCAAGAGGTCTTCCTGCCTCAGGCTCCCAAAAATATTGGGATTACAGAATGGAGCTGCCACACCCAGCCTAAAATCATTTATTGATTGATGGTTGAGATACCTTTGTGTTAGTCAGCATTCTCTCAGGGCAAACAGAGACAGGATGTACATGCAGAGAGAAAGAGCATTTATTTTATTTATTTCATTTTTTTAGGACGGAGTCTTGCTCTGTCGCCCGGCTGGAGTGCAGTGGTGTGATCCGTCTCACTGGCAACCTCTGCCTCCAGATTCAAGCGATATCTCTTGCCTCAGCCTCCCCGAGTAGCTGGGATTACAGGCTCGTGCCACCACGCCTGGCTAATTTTTGTATTTTTAGTAGAGACCAGGGTTTCACATGTTGGCCAGGCTGGTCTCGAACTCCTGACCTCAAGTGATCCGCCTGTCTTGGCCTCCCAAGGTGGGATTACAGGGGTAAGCCACTGTGCTGGCCCATATATCATTTCTTTCCCTTGGACAGGAAGGACAATGACTAGACAGGCCAGTGTCTTGCTCTGGGCTCCTCAACAAGTGTGTAGTCTGAGGGTTACTTGTATCTGCTTCCCTAGTCCCTGGTTCAGGGCTTCTATGACCCACCAGCTGCCTCCCTTCCCAACAGGTCCTGCCCCCTACTGGAATGATCTGAGATCCTCCTTTGAGAACCTCTGAGAGCTGCCAACCAGAAAGGGTCTATCAAGACAATTTCTTGCAGACTTCATCCATCCACATGCACAAGGAAGTGATAATGAGATTTCTGGTCAGTGGCTTGGAGAGAAAAATGACACAATGAGGAAGGATGGGGGAAGGCAGAGAGGCGGGTTGGTCGTCATATAATATTTGAATCTATCCTCTTCCCGAGAATGTGTCTTTTCCCCTGGAATTCAGGGGAATAGAGTGTTACTTTTTTATGGCCAGGAAAACATTAATAAAAAATGAACCGTCAGTGAAATTAATTTACGAGGTTTATGCATTCACAGCAACTAACAAGCCTGCACCTGCTCATCTGACACCCTCAAGCGACT